CAGTGTGTCTATGAGAAAGCTTTCTAGAGGTGAGATTGCTGAGTCAAAGCTAAATGCGAGGTATTACATTTCCCCTCCGTAAAGGTCGCACCATTTTATTTCTCCCCAGCGACATATGACAGAGCCTGTTTCCCCCCAGCTTTGCCAACAGAGTATGTTGTCCAGACTTGCATGTTTTTACCAGTCTGGTACATAAGAAATGGTTTCTCAGGGTAGTTTTAATTTGTATTTCCCCTATTATATGCAAGGTTGAACATTTTTCCTGTGTTTAAGAGCCATTTGCATTTCTTTTATGGGAATTATCTATTCTTTAGCTTTTTTAAAAGTGTTCTTTATATATTTGAGATACCAACCTGTATCTGTTACATAAGTTTCAAATATTTGTTTCCAGTTTTTACCACGCAAAGGGTTTTCTAGAAATTTCGATATAATCAAATATATTGACCTTTTTAGTTATTGCTTCTTGATTTTTAGTTGTAATTAGGAGCTTTTTCCCCATCTTCTGAGTTAAAGATAGAGTCACCTGTGCTGTCTGCTTGTATGCTTTCATTTCTTAGAGTGAAGAGTGTAAAGAATGGATTTAATTTTATTTTTTTTATGTGGCTATCCAGTTGTCCCAACCAAGTATGGAGTCCATTTTTTCCTTGTCAGTTTAGGTGGCTGCCTTTAAATGTACACTCAATTATCCTTTAGCCTTTTGTCTGTCTCTGGAGTTTCTGTTTTGTTCCATCAGTTCATTTGCCTGTTCATGTGTCATACCTAACGGTTTTAGTTATAAAGACTTTACAGTGAAAACGTTTGACTCCAGTATCCCTTTGTTGGTTGTAGTGTTAGGACTGAAGGGAAATGCTACTCATATTTAGGATGCGTTTTCCCCGGAGCCTGCTATCTCAACTACATGGATATCATGCTAAATGAATTAACCTTAATTGTTGTTCTGCTTATAACTGGTACAATTATAAGCAGATTGAAAGGTCACTTGTAAGGTCTCACATTACCTATATATTAGCATAGTGACCATCACCATCTTCATAGAGCTTCAGAAGTTAATAGGTCAAACAAATTAATGAATGTAAATGCACCTCTAAACAAAAAAGCTATATATTTTCATTTTTCTTGCTGCCGTTCTCCCTGAATATAACTTGTGACCATTCCCATGTCATGAGAAATTGCTCTGAACTTTTTGCAGAGCAATACTTTGTTAGAATTTTCATAATACAATTGGTTATTGTGACTTTGAACTCTATCTTGTGATAATGCTTCTTGAAGAGGGCAGATAACTCAGCTGCTCTTCACTTCACATGTCCCCCCACCCCCAGCTTAGGTAAGGAGGTGGACTGAAACTTAGAGGGTGCACAATTGAAAATAATGTTTAGAGATGTTTACCACTTACCCGTTTGCTATGTTTGCATGTGGACAGCACTCGCACTCCTCCCTAGTATAGAGGCAGTACACATCATCGCCTGCTTGGCCAGAGTAGAACTAGTTGGTGGGTGTTGGTCACAGTCCCCCCTGTTCCCGGGTGGACTTCAACTCTGAGCATGGGCAATTCCTGATAGAACACCTAGTAGAGTGCCTGGCACATAGTAGGTGCTCAATACGTACATGTGGAATGGCTGGGTGAGAAAGAGCTGTAACTTAGACAAACCAGTTGGAGGACTAGATATGAAAGAAAGCTTGCAAAGCTTCCTAAATTGATTGAAAGTAGCTTTTGCCCCACGTGAGGACATATACTTTATAAATCTTCATGTCGATTATACGGAAACATTTTTTAACCTCATTTTTAATTGGAAGTAAATGTCAGATATGCATCCTGGGTACGGTAGTTCTCTTTACAGAAATAAAGTCCTGTAGGGTTCTTCACACATGCAGCGCAGTATATTATCTTTCCTTTTGTGAAATGTAAGATGCTAAGGAAAACTGCATCCAGACATATCTATAGAAAAGATACCATAGTTGTTTGAAGGCCCACCTAACTCTTGCTTCTTATTTCCATAGGCATGTTTGCCACAGTCGCTGGGATATCCCAGCGTGCCCCTGTGCACTGGTCAGAGAACGTGATTGGGGCGGCCGTTTCCTTTCCGTATGTCATAGCACTCGATGACGAATTCATCACAGTTCATAGCATGTTGGACCAGCAGCAAAAGCAGACCCTGCCCTTTAAGGAAGGCCACATCCTACAGGACTTTGAAGGTACTCGTTTACATAGGAATCTTCACAAAACTTGCTTACCAACCCTTTTATGATGATACTTCTTTAGTAAATGTTAGTAAGGGTCCATTAGGAACTGGGCCTTGTGCTAAGCATAGCAGATAAATGAATGACTCTAACACGGTCCCTGCGAGAGTGTGGTGTGGCTGTAGGGTACAGTGTGTATGGAGGGGTGGTGTGAGCTGAGCTGCAGCAGACCGGGGCAGTCAGGGAGGGACTTCATCTTGTGTGTAATGGTGAGCCAATTGAAGGATTTATTTTACTTTTCCTCAATTTTATTTTGAACATTTTCAAACATACAGAAAAGCTGAAAGGGAAAGAAAGCCTTTCCTCTAGATTCAGCACATGTTAACATTTTGCTGAGCCGTTTGAAAGTAAGTAGAAGATAGCATGACTTATTTTTTTTTTTTTTTTGGAGACAGGGTCTCGCTCTGTCATCTGGGCTAGAGTGCAGTGGCATCATCATAGCTCACTACAACCTCAAACTTCTGGGCTCAAGCAATCTTCCTGCCTCAGCCTCCTGAGTAGCCAGGATGGGCACGCACCACCACACCCAGATAATTTTTCTATTTTTTATAGAGAGGGGGTCTCACTGTGTTGCTCAGGCTGGTCTCGAACTCCTTGCCTCAAGTGATCCTCCCACCTCAGCCTCCCAAAGTGCTAGGATTGCGGGAGTTAGCCACCACCTGGCATCATTATGACATTTAATCTCTAACTTTAACACTCATCTCCTAAGAATAAGAGCATTTTCCTACAAAACCAGAATGCCATTTTCACACCTAAAAAAATTAACGCTAATTCTGTAGTACCATCTCATGTCCTGCTTTTATATTCAGATTTCCCCAGCTGTCCTCAAAATGCCTTTTATTGTATCTTCTTTAAACCAGGAACTAATGGAGATTTATGCATTGCATTTGCCATTTCAGGATTTTAGTTCACCAAGCATTGCCTTTCCTATGTCCAGCACAGTCTTAGCTGCTGGAGAAGATAAACTTAGTAAGACACACAGTCCCTACCATTAGGTGGGTCAGATTCCAGGTGGGCACTGACACATGTCTTGGAGTAGCATACAGAGCAGTATTATGGTGCTGTGTGTTGAATGATAGAGGTGGGTGTCATGGACACATACAGGAGATGACGTAACCCACCTTGAGTGGGAACAATGATGCTAGCTGTAAAAAGTGACACCAGGCAGAGGAGGGACAGAATCTTATGTGCGTTTGAGAAAAACTGCTTTGGTTGTGATATAGAAGACAGAAAGAAAAGATCATTTAATTGCTTCCTGTGAACAGGTAGTGCTTAGCTAAACGTTTCTTCAGAAGAGAACAGAGTTTAATTTGAAAGCTTAGTAGCGGGAGCTAGCCTCGGATTGCAGTTCTGACTCTTCCATGAACTACCTGGGGAGGGTATCACAGGTAAAACGAGGACAGCAGTGTTGGCCATGGGCGGGATTAACTCGCAGGATTGTGGGGAAATGAGTACATTAATGGCAAGACTTGGGCGTGTTTGGATGGTAGACGAATATGAAATATCTCATGGTTCAAAATATTGCATTAAAATCTCAGTTTTATATAAACTAAATTGGAGGGGAAAGAATTTTTTTTTAAAATTGTTACATGAGGCATATTATAATTCTTACTGCTAATGTTCTCTTATTGAGCTCTGCCACTTCATTGGATTATCTATTATATACCTACCACAATGATTTTAAATTCGCTAGCACTTTTAAATAGAAAAAGGCAAAAAAAGCAGATATTATTCTTTGGAAATATAGTATTAAGAGTTTGCCCTTTTCTAACAGTTGACAATGTGGGAAGAAGAAAAGGGAAGCATTATAATTTCTAATTTCTGTAGGAATTCTATTGAGAAAACTGATGAGATTGATCAGCAAATCAGATAATGATCTAATTTGGGGAAAGCAATGTGTTTTCTTGCAGGCAATATGTTTTTTCCCTTTCCAACAATGTTGAATTTCTTCCCAGGAAGAGTGATTGTTGCCACAAGTAAAGGAATTTACATCTTGGTTCCATTACCTCTGGAAAAACAAATACAGGATCTTCTAGCAAGCCATAGAGTGGAAGAGGCTTTGGTTTTAGCAAAAGGGGCCCGGAGGAATATTCCAAAAGAGAAATTTCAGGTTTGTAATTAACTGGTCACAAGAAAGCATGCCTCTAAGCCACGAGTTAGAAAACATTTGGATTTAACTAACATGCATTGGCCTTTCCTATATACCAGACTGCTTTTGTATCTGTTATTTCATTTTCTCAACAAATCCACATTTTATAGATAAGGAAACAGGCTGCAGAGCAGTCGCACAGCTTGACTGAGATACACAGCTAATAGTGGAGACATCAGGTTTTTTTGTTTTTGTGGTTTTTTTTATTTCAGGGTATTGTGAGGGTACAAACATTATGGTTACACTTTGTCTTTGCCTCACCCAAGTGCGAGTTAAAGACATGCCCTTCCCCGCTACAGTGCTCCCTGTGTCCTTTAGTTGTGGATTTACCTCCCCATCCCCCTAATCCCTGGAGGGTATTTCTACCATGTGATCATCCTAGTGTTGATCAGTTAGTACCAATTTGATGGCAAGTACAAGTGGAGCCCCATCTTCTGCTCTTGTGGTGCCTCACTTTGGATAATGGGCTTAAGTTTAATCCAGGAAAGTGTAAGAGGTTCTAGATCACTGTCGTTTCTTATGATTGAGTAATATTCCATTGTAAACATATACCAAATTTTAATAATCCACTCATGGATTGACGGGCACTTGGGTTGTTTCCACATCCTTGCAATAGTGAATTGTGCTGCCATAAACATTCGGGTGCAGATGTCCTTATCGTAGAATGTTTTGTGCTCTTTTGGATAGATGCCTAATAGTGCTATTGCTGGATCGAATGGTATTTCTATTTTTAGCTCTCTGAGGTATCTCCAAATTCTTTTCCACAGAGGTTGCACTAATTTGCAGTCACACCAGCAGTGTAAGAGTGTTCCTGTCTCTCCGCATCCTCGCCAGCATTTGATGTTTTGGAATCTTTTGGTAGAGGCCAATCTCACTGGGGTTAGGTGATATCTCATTGTGGTTTTGATTTGCATTTCTCTAATGATTAGAGATGTTGAGCATTTTTTTATATGTTTGCTGGCCATTATTCTGTCTTCTTTTGAAAAGTTTCTGTTCATTTCCTTTGCCCATTTGTTGATGGGGTTGTTTGATTTTTTCTTGTTGATTTTTTTGAGTTCTAGATAGATTCTGGTTATCAGCCCTTTATCAGATGTGTAGAGAGCAAATATTTTTTCCCATTCTGTGGGCTGTCTATTCACTCTAATGATAGTTTCCTTGGCAGTGCAGAAGCTTTTTAATTTGATCAGATCCCATTTATTTATTTTTGTTGCTGGGGCGATTGCTTTGGGGTTCTTCTTCAAGAATTCCTTGCTTAGGCTGATGTCTGAGGGGTCTTCCCAACATCTTCTTTTAGAATTCTTAAGATTTCATGCCTTAGGTTTAAGTCTGTTACCAATCTTGAATTGATTTTTGTGAGAAGTGAGAGGTGGGGGTCAAGTTTCATTCTTCTGCATGTAGCTATCCAGTTTTCCCAGCACCATTTATTGAAAAGAGATTCGAGACATCAGGTTTTGAACTCCTGACTTAATTCTGCTACTTTATACGCTGGGTTGTATTTCTAATCAACTTTCTTCTTCAGGGAACATTGAGAGAAGAATCAAGAACATAGTTCTTATAAACCAAAAGAGTTAATTTGTCTCTGAATTTAGAATTTGTGTTTGTTAGGTTGGGGTTGAATTAAAGTTTAGATTTTTTATTGTCTATAGGAAAAGCTTTGCTAATCATATTAATAAAGCGCTTAGTATTGCAGGAACCTATCTAATTGATTTCCTTAGGAGAAAATTTTTAATGCACTTAAGAAACACAAATTTTGGATATAATTGCTATGATAAATGTAATTGATATAAATCAAGCTTCCTAAAAAATATTACTTGATCAGTTATTAGTTGTTCAGGTTATTCTATATATTTGAGAGTAATAAAACATAATGTTGATGTGTGTGTATGCTTCATATGAATATCTAAATTGATAAACGTCAGTCAGATTTTATACCTGACAGTGTGATTGTTGTGGGTGAAATGCTCTTTGGCCTCCGGTGCTTTATGCAACAAAGGATAGATTCTGACAGTGGAAGAAGACAAGGTGTGTGATTTATGGTTATGGGCTATGAACGAGAGCATCTTTTCTACATTTCAACATGGATAAACTTACCGTCTTTGCTGCTGGCTTTTAAGGAAGACTGATCTGTTAGCGTTCAGCAGGGGGCAGCAAAAGCAAAAGGAAGAAAGCTCTGTTGGTTCAGGGCCTGTTACTGTGCTGGGCACTTTCATTGTTTTACATCTGCAGTGAGCCATGCAGGGCAGGGCGTGGGACCAGAGGCGGGTCGCCACTCTGAGGCTGGCGGCCACCGCGCTTGCTCTCGGTCCCGGCTCTCCTTCCGCGAGCTGCCCTCCGTGGAGATGCTGGAGTCCAGAGGGGCCATGCCAAGGTTGTCACAGCTGCTATTGGGGGACCCCTCCTTGCACACACACCATGTGTACTTTAAGTGTGTAACGTTTTCTTACGGAGGCTTTCAATGTTCTTTATCTGATTTTTTGCTTTTTTTCCCCTCTACTTTTTTCGCCAAGAGTAGAGATGTTTTTAAGGACTGGATGCCACTCACATGGTTAGGTGCATTACTTATTTTAATTTTAGGATGCCACATGCTAGACCCCAGGCTTAGAGAAGCAGAAAGGGTGAGGAGAAGAGGTCAGAGCTCAGTAGACTGCTTCCTCACCGTTGCACTCCTTTCCCTTCATTGAAAGCAAGGACTAATTTTGCTTCACTGAGTTCTAATTTGGGGATGAGTTGATCAAGAAGTTTAACTGTAGGACTGAGATTATAGGATTGTTTCTTCTAGAAGTCCAAAAGGGTTATTCAGAACTTTCAGAAAGCAGGCCTTAAGTAAAGGTTTAGGATGCTTTAAAGAAAGAGTAAGGCCGGGCATGGTGGCTCACACCTGTAATCCTAGCACTTTGGGAGGCTGATGTGGGAGGATTGCTTGAGCCTAGGAGTTCAAGACCAGCCTGGGCAATGTAGCAAGACCCTGTCTAAACAAAAATAGAAAAATGAGCCAGTGTGGTGGCACATGCCTATAGTCCCAGCTACTTGGGAGGCTGAGCCAGGAGGATCACTTGAACCCAGGAGTTATAGGTTGCAGTGAGTTGTGATTGCACCACTGCACTCCAGCCTGGGTGATAAAGCGAGACCCTATCTCAAAAGAAAAAAAAAGAGAGAAACAGTAAGAAGACATCTTGCTTTATAGACAGGTTTCTGTCACACATAAAAAATTACTTGATTTGTACCATGTCATATGGATAGTGTTTATATTTAAGCTTGAGCTCTGATAGATTTTTTTTACTTCATCTAAAAACATTTCAGTATGTATCTCTAAAGGCAGAGATGCCTCTTTTAAATACCCACAGCACACAGCTCCTCCAAATCAACACTAATTCCTTCATATGGTGGGTATCTGGCTAGTGCTCTTATTTCCCCAATTGTCCTATAAATGTTCATGCTTTGCATTTTTTTTATCCTTAGTAAAAATCTCACTAGACTGTACACTCAAATTACTGTTTTACAGTCACTTGGGGTGGTTCTCCTTGGTGTGGTTCTGCTACCAGCTCTTATATATATAGTTAGGTTCATTTGCTTCATTTGACTTTTGTTCTTTAGGGATTGCTTTTTATATTTTAATTTGTTTTATAACTATGTAAAATATTTATGTAATTCAAGAGTCAAATCATCAATTCAAAGTATATTCAGAGAAGTCTAGACTCTGTTTCTCTCCTTCCTCTGGTCACTTCCTTCCTTCTTACTGTGTGGTCTGTTGATTTGCATTTCTCTCTGTCTCTCTTTCTCTCTCCCTTCCTCCTTACCTGTATTCTTTTCATGTGAGTGTATTTTTTATTCTAATGGTTACTTTAATAGTATTAACTTTATAAAATCCCTTTGGTTTTCTCTTTCCGGGGAGGTTCCTGTTGTCTGTTGGTTCCCCACTTTGAGCGTATTTGAAGTTAGTCAGCACCCTCTTCGTCACTCTCCCCTTCTCTTCCCCAGCATCTGCTTTGAAGCACTGTGCCTTCGTGGCTACGTAGCCAATACCTGGAAGGCAGTCGGCAAGCATATTGTCCTTTTTGCATAATCTCCCCATTCTCTCCTATTGTTTTGATGAGCATATTATCCATACTCCTCTGAGCACATAACCCACCACGTATTGTTCTGTTCCCTTATTTATCAGTCTTAGTTCTGTAGGCAAATGTATGTTGAATGTTTACCACCAAATTTAATGTCGATGTTCCCTCCAGTCATTTTGGTTTTCTGAACAATCCTCTGGTAGATGTTTCAGGATAGGAACAGGAGAGCACTGTCTCTGAATTGGCGGTGACAGTTCATCTGCAACATTTATACTTGAGGGCCAGTTTGGTTGAATATAAAATCCTCAACTCACATCTTTCAGTGAGGAACGTAAATATGTTCTACCGTTATGAAATGTCGCAGTCAAAAATCTGATGACAATCTGAATTTCTTTCCCTTGAAGTGACTTGATCTTTTTGCAGCGATGCCGAAACCACTCAAATTTCTGTCAGGTCTCATGTCTCCATGTTGGCACACTCGGCCAGTTGGAGCCTTCTAAGTCCCCACTGCCATCCTCACGGTGGCCTCCCGAGCTCTCGGGTGGTGCTGGTGGCACGTTGGGGTGCCCTGGCTGTCTCGGGCCAACAACCCCTTTGCCTCTCTGCACTTGTCCCCGTGGTTTCTGATACTACCAGGGTCTGCAGCTGGTGGTGAGTTGCCCCCACTGGCTTGTGCTTTGGGGTTTGTGGGGAGGCCTTGTCACTTATTTTCTTACAAGTGTGTCAGTGAGTTTCTGGTTTTGCTATCCAAATTGTTTTTTGCTTTTGTGTTTTTAGTGGTGCTAAAATATACAAGATATTCACCATTTTAACCATTTTTAAGTATTCAGTTTAGTACACAGCAAGTACTAAGTGCATTCACATGGGGTGCCATCAGCACTGCCTCCTTTCCGTCTTCACAACTTT